GAAGAGCAGATAAAAATGAAAACATATTATTTCATAAATATAAGTGATATCTTAACACTGGTTTACTTCCCTACCAAACACTTCCTTTTTAAAATTGTTAACTTTATACTTCTTAAGTAACATCCACATAAAATTCTGTTTTCAAGAAAGCTTGGCAGTTTGGGGGGACATGATAGCATATTAGCAAATAATATTAGCAAAAAAAACTAGAACCAACCTTTGATTTTTGTGTTGTAAGTTGTAAACGGAGATCTAGTTCAAGATCTATAACTTCAGAGTTCTACTTGACAGAAAAAGGCAGACAGTGATAGGGATTCCGACGAGGGCATTTCTTTCTACACGACTAGATCCTCGAATTTACCATAACCTCTAATGACTCCTTAGGTTAAGGGCTACAGAAGCTACGATCAGATGATTTTATTTCCTGGTTGTGACTTGGGAAAAAGATTTAGTCATTAGAAACTGGAACTAAATTCAAATTCTTGAGGGGAAGAGACATTTATATGGCTATATTTATTTTTATTTAAGAAGAAAATGAACACCAATCATTTCATGGCAATCAAAGCTATTCCTAATATTCAACTATATTAGAAATTGAAAGTCAATTCTTAACACAAATTCCAACTTCAGCAGAAAAATCAATGCTACTCATAGAAGTCAGGAACATTAAAAAAAGAAAAGGCTAAAAAATACAATAAAAATAAAAGACAACAGGCAAATACAAATTCTGGTGGTATGCTGAATTTCATGAGCTCTCTTATGAAGTCTGTACTTTACCAATAGTTCTAGACAATATTTCCTTGTGCCAGGAAAAGAAGCCAATACAGGCACCTCCATTAAAGCTGCCACAGCCACTATTACTATCTCCAAAGGAAAATGACTCAAGTATTTTCACAGCATTATCTGAACATTAATTAATAATATACAATTTTTAATTTCACCATTCTCTTGTCACAAACAAAGATAATAAAGCATGTTCAGAATGACTTTGGTCTTTCTTTCTTTTTTTTTTTTTTCAAGCAGTACAATGCTCCTAAGCAATGCCACAGAAAACCTAGGAAGTCTAGGGCTTAAAAAAAAAGTCAAAAGTAAAGTTAAATTAGCTAAGACTAATGGAAACACAATTCACAGTATTTTCTCGGTAGGAAGAAATTATGTATAAATAAAATCTCTAAGCACTTATTGAGAAAAATCAAAAGAGCACTTGGTGAAGAAATCAATATACTACAATAATGAATCTTCCCTCCCCACCCCAAACAAACAATGGCAACATCATTCAGCTGAGATAGTCAGCTCCATATTACTTCAACAAATTTGGAAATGCTTACTTTCGGTGGACATATCTCCAGACTAAAAGTTTTGGATAGCCAAGTCATTTCAGCATTAAAACAAATCACAGGGAGATATAAACCACAGTCAAAAATCACGAAAGAATAATGTTATTTGACTAATGAGGACAACAAAAAACTTTGAGTTAAAGAGCCCAAAGATTTAACCTATAGTACTGTCACCTGAAGACCCTCTAACAAGTATAAACTTTTTCTGGGGGAGCCTGCACATCCCAGATCAAAGACTATTTTAGGATTTTAAAACTTTGTGAAAATTCAGGCAAGACTTTCTGCAAAGGGATGAGACTGGATGAATGTTGACTTTTAAGAAAATAAGGGTTAGGAAGGGTATTTTTTTAATAGGTAGATGACTTTGTTAGAGTACACATTATAATGATCCCCTCCCACTGAAATCTCAAACCATAATTCTCAACTGTTGTGCAATATTCAACCAGCTAAGGACTTCACATAACTTTCACTCAGGAAATAATCAAATAACCCACAATTACCCAATGAATTCCATGTAGTGTTAAGAATAATTATAGGGTAACTTCTTCATGTAATTACCATGAAACTGAGTATAATTCAGAGAATAAAATCAAACGTACTCCTAAGTGCTTTTTGATCCATTAAACAGTACTCTCAATCTCTCACTGATTAAGTACCTCAAGCTAGTTTTTGTTTGTAGATTAGATTTTAAAACCCTGTTTTATTAAATGAAATCCTGTTAATGTATCTCCACGAACCACTTTTAAGGCAGATGTGAAGAGATTCATTGGAATGATAAGCTGCCAACCATTTATATGCAATAAACATATTTTACCCAAGACCACAGTTTTATAAGCTTAAACAAATCACTGCACTCTAAACCCAACAAGCCTTTCTATGATAAGCCAGTGACTTAACTTTTTAATGTTTTCTATCAGTTTTTACTTATTAGACATGGACAGGTCAGTTTTAGTATAAATGGAAAACAGGTCTACAAAGATGACCTTAATAAGGGTTAATACCGTCAGCTTTAGCACAGAGGTAAGCATCCAAGTCTGAACTCCTTTGCTTGAACAGGAAAGTGATACACTCTGAATTAATCAGGCTGGCCACGTGAGATCTCTGTCATTCCGCAAAATAAAATGCAAATGCATCTGAGAAGTGTCTTTCAAATCAGATCATGAAGCACAAGCACTGAAAATAATATTAGAGATCTGGTCTATTTCTGGCTGAAAATAATATATTCCATTGGGAAAAAGAGAAATGGGAATGAGGTTGAAGTTAGGGATGATAAAATTGAACAAACTATATCCCATTAATTAATGTGTCTAAAGCATCAGCGAGATGTTTCAACTTAAGACTCATTAAACTAGAATGAAAGAATTTTTAAGTAGTAAAGCACATGTACTTGGCTACCTAAATAATGTATCTAAATATCAAATTAATTATTTAAATCATATTACACTGCTGGAATTATTAGAAATACATGTAGTTTCTCACTAAATACATAAACAAGTTTCAAATCATGGTTCTGATGTGAAATGTCATGAATGTGTCAATCTTGGTCATGGGTATATGAAGTCCTACATTCTCTGCAATCATTCTTGGCAGTGCTTCATTAAACCCCACAGTACAGATTCTGACTTATCTAGTCAATGGCCTCCTCAGGAAGTCTATCACACTTAGGCAACACTAAATGTTTCACTATGATTTAACCCCATTTAAGAATGGTTGTTTAAAAAAAAAAAAATTCCAGAAATGATGGGGAAAAATTCCACCTAAATAAAATGAAGGTGAAATTAAAACAAACATTCATTTAAAATAATATTAGCAAAGAAGCAATTAGGAAGAAACAAAAACAAACAAAATCAATGAGTTCAAGAACTGAGTTTCCTCCAAGTAATATGAAGTCAAAGAACTGACCAATGAAAAAAACTACAAAAACACAATAAAGATAAATGGCAGAATTTCATTTGGTTAATTTTTAAAGTGCCAGAATTCACAGGAAGCAAAACTAGAGCTTTTAAATTTAGGCAGTCTTATCAAGTTTAAATTCTTCTCTGTTGACATTCTAATTTACACCTTTCTCCACAAAACAAGATTTAATAGATTACAATATTAGTGATATTAATATCTTATGTTCTTAACTGTCACCCAGGGGAATCACTTTATGAAACTGTACAAGTTATAAGTAGACTATATTTACTCAACTGTACAACAACTGATTATTCTGCAGCTACACAATTTGGTACTTGCTGAATTATATAGTATACCTTTCACAAGATAATGTACAGATCTAACTATTTAATACATCATTACTGATTGTTTTGGGATGCCTGGAAAGCCAAGGGGCTCATGATTCAAGCCTAAAAATGACAAAAATATATTCTGTCCATCTCCAAAAGAAGTAAAATAATGTAGTAAGGGCAGAGCAAAGAGGGATCTCAAAGTCTCATTCCTATATATGACACTTTCTGAAAGTGCAGATCAGCTTCTTTTTCTTTGGTAATGTTTAATCTTACTACCCAGGGGCATACTCAATCCCATAAATTCACTCACTTTTAGGAGCCACTGGACTGATGGACATTTATTATATTGAGTCTGCTTTCAGCATGGTACATTATCAGTTGCATACAACACACTTTTTGATCAAGTGTGAGTGCCTGCTAGATGTAGGTTTTGCATACTGCATTCCACAGCACCTCATGGGAAGATATCCCCTATCCATCACACACAAAAATAAGGATCTGTGGAAAAGCCCATCTGCAATAACTTTTTTTCTGTTTAATGAAAAAATATTCACACCATTATTTTTCCTTTTCTCCATTTAAAAAAAAGCCTGGTCCATGTGCTTAAGGAAATGCCTTTCAGTGGACAACCACAAACCATTACTCTTCAAAATATCAATGTATAGAAGCAGATGCAGGAAGCTGATGTGTATGGAAATAATGAAAGTCTACCTGTGGAAACTCACCCACCCAGATGAAAATGCTACTAAGAGATAGCACAAAGGAGAAATTAAAGATCTGGTTCTGTATAGCTCTGTTTGAGCAAAGAGTAATTTTTCCAAAATTGCTATAAAGATATTAATAAACATATTAATCCTACTAGATCCCTCCTGCTGGTCATCTTTTAGAATGGCTCTTGAATGTTCTGAAGTATAGTCTCCTCATTTTAAGGTTTCTGTGACTCAGTCAGATGCTATTGTAAGATCTACTATAAAATATATCATTATAGAAATAGTCTATTCCAATCTCAAATAGGTGCCTTGGTCAACCTTGAGTTTCATTTTTTTAGTTCTATGGCAAGGAGTGCAAATTTGAGTCCTCTGTTCTGCCTACTGTTTAATGTAATATAAGACAAGTCAACATAGACACATATATCACTTTAACATACATCAGTTGTCCTACAGAACTATATATACCTGTTATGAAGTAAAGAGGTAAACAAGTGACTCACTTACAAGCAGTTGTGTGATGTGAGGTAAAGTGAAATGGGAAGGGAGGAGAAAGAAGGCCAAACAACCAACAACAACATATCCAAAATTCTTATAGCACTGAGTCTGTTAATAGTGCTTATTTCTCCCAGATAAAAAAAAAAAAAGAAAAATTTTAAAAGGGTAATCTGCCTAATTTCTTCCTTTATACTCATTCTTAAAAGTTAAAGTAAGAAAAAATATATATATATATTTAAATGGAAAGTATACCAATTTCACTTTATTAGCCTTTAGGAATAGGATGAAATTTATGGGGTTGAGGTCAAGTATGAACGAAGAGTATTAAATTTGTGATGGTAACTCTGGTACAGTCCTCAATCACTGTAGCTTAATTATCGGTCAATAGAGCTGCAGTCCAAAACACTGAAAGCAGATGCCTGTTCTTCATTTGTGTGTCCAGTGACTCTTCAGTTACAGTGTGATGAGGTCTACCAGGTTGCCTTTAGGAGGAGTCATGCTGTCAGGAAAGAAATTTACCAAGGTGTCAAAGAGTTGAGTTCTTTGAGCATAGGTGTGATCCACATCCGAAAAGCCTGGTGAAGAAGAAATACAAAGAAATTCATCCATTGTGTTTAAAACTCAACATGTAATAGAAAAGCTAGTTGAGACTAGCGGCAATGTATAATGGAAAAACCAAAATCAAATTAGGCTTCAAAACCAGATAAATTCTACTGATCTACTACTTGGCAGTTGTGTGGTTTTAAGTAAATCAATCAGCCTTTCTGGCTTTCAGCCTTTCTGTTTCCTCAGCTGTACATCTGTGATAATCCTGTTTACTTCATAGGGTTATTGCTCAGACTCAATGCAATAACATGAAAAGTACCTCACAAAACGCCTGGCACTTTAGTAACTAAATAATATCGATTTATCTTCTCTTTCTTAGAAGGTTTTTCCTCTGCTAGTCCAGAAAAGAGGAAATCTCACTCCCCTTTTCTGCCTTTTTAATGCTTCTAACCCACTAATATTTCTTTAATAAAAATATAATAAAATCAAAATGAAACAGGTCTTAAGTGCTCTAAAAACAAAAGGCCCTAAGAGCTGGAAGTAGTCTCAGAGAACCGAGTGAAATGTAAATGACTGAGGGAAAGAAATACATGTACAATATGTAGCATGGTATCTGGCCCATAGTAAATACCACATATTTATGGTACTATGCACCAGGTTCTATGCTAAGCACACATTATATGAGAAATAGAGCAACAAACTACTTTTATCCAGATAAACCCTAGAAAGTAGGTGGCATTCTTAAAAAGTGAGGACTGTTAAGCTAAAGAATTTTTCCCCCTTAACCCCTAATAAACATTTGATTTTGAAGTTCACTCTGCCCAAAGTAATGTTGAGTGAGATGCCTCCTTCTTTTAGTCAGCTGGTACACTCTTCACAGCTGCTTCAGACTTCTTACCCACAAATGAGGTGTTTAAATGATGAAATAAATGATTTCCATACTCCTAACTGAGACATGAGAGACTTACTGAGTGCCATCATAAAGAATTATACATGCTGTGATGTTCAGTGAAGACTACTTCAAATTGGACTAATTTTCATTCAACTCAGAATACAGTTTTAGGTCCAATCTCTTTTAATTTTGTAAAGAACAAGAATAGAACATAACATTGCCAAGGATACCAGTTTCCTGGAAGGAACATAAACAATGCCTCAAGAACAGTACATTCCTTTTTAATTTTTAAAAAGTTTTATTATTGTTATTTTAAGTTTGAGGGAAAATGTTTACTCCTTTGAGCTGACCTTAAGATTTAACACAGCCTAATGTCATATCATAGAAAAGAATGGAAGAAAATACTCCAGAATATTAACAAAGATTATCTCTTAATGCTGAGGTTATAATTTTTTTTTCTATTTTATGCTTTTCTGAATTTTCCAAGTTGCTTTATTTTCAACTTTTTATTAGAAGAAAATACTCCAGAATATTAACAAAGATTATCTCTTAATGCTGAGGTTATAATTTTTTTTTTCTATTTTATGCTTTTCTGAATTTTCCAAGTTGCTTTATTTTCAACTTTTTATTTTGAAAACTTTCAAACTCACAGAAAAGTTTCAGGAATAGTAAAGTGAACACTCAGACACCTTTCACTTAGATTCGTCAATTGTTAACATTTTGCCAAATATGTTCTTATTTTGTGTGTGTGTGTGTATACTCCACTCATAATCTTTTTGTGAAACTATTTGGGAGCAAATGCTGGACATCTTCACCCCTAATACTTGAGTTCATTCCAGCTAAGAACAAGAACATTCTTTTAAATAACCATTAAGATTAAATTCAGGAAACAACACTGATCTCCCCACAATCTTTTTTATAGTCATTTTTTCCACTAATCTAAAATCCAATCTAAGATCACACATTGCATTTAGTCTTCAAGTCTTCAAGTTTTCAAGTCAGCCATTTCTCCAAGAAGCCTTAATTACTTTTAGTAGAAAATGATATTAGAAACCACAATCAGTTGTGGTAACTTCCAGGGTGTCACTGTTTCTAGAACTACACATATACATATACTATACACACACTTTTTCCCCCCCAAAATCATGAGTTCATGCTTTTATCGCTAATTACAATTTTTTAAAAATCCCACAGGATTCCTTCTCTTCATGCCTCATTCTGTAAATCCTTTCTTCTACCAAGAAAACCCTGCCTCCCAACAACATCATAATATTTACTCATTTGCTCAACTTAAAATACATAAAAAGCAAGTTCTAGAATTAATATACTCATACCACTACCAACAAAAACTCAATATTTGTTTTTATTGTTTTTAGAATATACCGCACTGAGAGTAAACAGTCTAAGCACTATACTAAAAAGGTTTAGTTCTCTTTTTTCCCTATTATGTGGTTATTTAGCAATTTGATAAACAGGTTTGTTTCTGTATGTATTCAACTTTACCGTTTTTCCCTTCTTTGTTTTACTTTATTCTCTATTTTATGTTCTGAATTTGTAAAAATGCAGTGGCACATCATATTTTTAAGAGAAGATACTGATTCTGCAGTAGTATTCTAATGAAATTATACCTTTTTATGAGATCAAATGGTTTACGAAGGAAACACTGAGTTCCTAATATGTGCTAGGTATTTTATGTATGACTACATTTCTTGCCACAAAAACAATAAGTAGTTATCACTAATTCCACTTTCAGATGAGACAGATTAGGGAGATTCAGTAATTTAATAAGGTATCAAAGCTGGTGAGGGAAGCAATGGAATATGAATCCATGTTTGTCTGACTCCAAAGCCCATTTATTTATTTTTATTAACTCAAATTTATTTAGTGCTGAAGTTGTAGGGCAATATGCTAAACTCATTCAATCCTCAAAGGTACATCTTTTATTTTTATATACTATTTACCAATAAGGAAATCGAAACTTACACTATCGTTAGACGAATGGTTAAGCTATGGTGGATCCCTATTCTGGAATAATATGTGTTACTTCATAAGAATACAACAGACCTAGTAAAGTTTTATGGGAACATCTCCAAGTCACATCATTAAATTTTTAGAAATTATGTTGCAGAATATATTTTTATATTATATAGTAAAAAAAACTGTACATTTACATATGTGTGTGCCCATATACAGTTGATCTTGATTATTCATGTATTTCATATTTGTGAATTTGCCTAGTTGCTAAAATTTATTTGTAAGCCCCAAATCAATACCTATGGCACTTCTATGGCCATTCATGGACATGTGCAGAGTGGCAAAATATTTGAGCTGCCACATGCACACATTCCCAGCTGAGGTGGAACTATGTGATGTTCCACCACCCTGTCTCCCCTCTCAAACTATACACAACTATTCTTTTACATTCTGTTTGGTGCCACATTTTTCACATTTCTGTGCTTTCTGTTGGTGAGTTCACTGCTTAAAATGGCCTCTAGTTATAGTGCTGAAGTGCTAGTGTTCCAAAGTACAAGAAGGCTGTGATGTACCTTATGGAGAAAACAGGTGTGTTAGAGAAGCTTCATTCAGGTATGAGTTATAGTGCTGTTGACCATGAGTTTAATGTAAATGAATCAACAATATATGTTAAATAAGGAATCTTTAAATAGAAACATATGTAAGACAGGGTTTATTTGAAAAAATGTCACGACCAGAGGCTCACAAGGAACCTAACTCTGTATTTCCCATAGAAACAATAATTCTGAATTCACTAATTTAGTGTTCTCTGTGACTTTATAGAACTACTTTGAATAACAAGAACCAACTGTAGCTGTATATCTCTTTGTATATTTGTGTGCGTGTAAAGATGTACAAGATAAGGCAGATATGGGTGATCACATTTAGGTTAGGGAACAGAGATTGGGGGAAGCTCTTTGAATAACAAGAACCAACTGTAGCTGTATATCTCTTTGTATATTTGTGTGCGTGTAAAGATATACAAGATAAGGCAGATATGGGTGATCACATTTAGGTTAGGGAACAGAGATTGGGGGAAGCTGTTTACAGAGAATCTTAAGCTTTATTTGCAGTCAACGTATTTTTAAAAGTATATTAAAAAAGGACAGGGGGTCTAGGATATTCATCGACAGTAACACAACTACTTAAGTGGCAGACAGGACAAAAAAGTTATATTGATTCCAAACCTCATGTTCCTAACCACTGTGTTTCTCTCACTTTATTTTCGCCATAGAGTGGAATGGGGAACTAATCACTCAGAGCAGTGGAAACTGGTAAAGCTCAATGAGAGGTAGTATAGTTGGTGGTTTAGAGAATGAGCTCTGAAGCCATACTGACAGAGTTTGAATCCTGCTTTTGCCACTCACTTGCACTCTTCCTGAGCAGGTTACTTTAGCCTCTCTGTGCCCCAGTTTTGTCACACACAATAGAGGATCACATACTAGCTACTTCATAAGGTTACTGTGGACATTAAATGAGTTATAACATGCAAGGTGCTTAGAATAGTACCTGGGCCCATAGTAAGTTCTCAGTAAATATTATTAATTAGCTATCACTGTATCACTACTACTCTGACTAAAGACAATGACTACTCTAAAAAGAAAGTGACCTATTAGGAATATAGTTTTCACTTAATTCCTACATAGACTAGCTGGCTTTTCCTATTTGTGGTAGGAGAAATAGCAAGAATTCTAATTTTTCTCCTGGCATACAAGTTTTTCTTTAATTTACACTTCCTAGTCCTAATAGTAAACTTATTATTTACAAATCCCCTGTAAACATATGCGCTACAGATAGGAGGCTGAAGGAAGTATCTTGCTGAAATCTAAGTTTGGTGGATATCGCAAAAATATAAAACCTAAAGGACATAAAATGCTATAAAATTCTTAAGGCTTCTAATTCACTAATATCAACAGAGTGACAAAAAGCACTATACTTTAGGCATAAAATGTTTTAAACATCATATTCATACTGTAAACTTCTAAAGGGAGTTGTGAAGAATGAAAGGGGCAACATGATCTATAGACCAGATTTTTCCTACTTGATATGTACTTTGCTGAAAATAAGCTCAATTGCTCCAATGCATATTTTCTAGAAATGAGGCACAGCTTTAAAATTAGCAAAATGGCTAAGTTCGGTCTTAACAGTACCTACAGCCACAAGAAGCTCTAAAATAAAGATCTTTGGAGATTATTTTTCTCAGAAGTCATTTTTCCAAAACTAAGACAATGTCAGCTGCTTGTAAATCCCTCTTCTTCTTTCTGATTCTTTAAAATATTCTACATAACATTAATCAATACTTTAATTCTCACTAAAAGGTTAACATAAATTGGATTAATTCTAAAGGAAGAGAGTCAAAAGTTTGGCTGATGCTAATTTTTGGGGGGAGCAGAGTTTAATAAAAAATGATTACCTACACAATGAAAGGCATGGTAAATAACTTTAATAATTTTATTTCAATTCTAATTGGCATAAAGGTAAAATAATCTGCCAGAAAATGAATGAGAGCTAGAACCAAGAACTCTAAATAGGCGTAAATCTTTATGAAAAGTACTTTTTAATAATATATCAAATTTCTCATTATTAAAATCAGCATACAACCTGAATTTGCTCCCCATCCAAATCCACCAATGTTACAAAGAACATTTTTAAGGCGGATAATAACAGTACCCTGAATGGAGCATCTACTAAGTGTTTTACTGTGCTAAGTGTTTTCCATAATTATTGCACTTAATTCTCTCAACAATTTGAGGTAAGAACTCTCATTACCTCCATTTTATAGATGAAGAAACTGATGATTAGAAAGGTAAAATAACTTGTCCAAGGTCACTTTTAAAATTAGCAGGTCACTATACTACAACTCTAACCTCCTAACTATTAAACTATACTGGCTCTCTTCCAACAAAGTAGGGAACAAAACCCCACAGGAATTTTCCCTTTTTGCATTTTTCTCTATTGTGTTTGTATAGTTCTCAGTGTATCTGAGGTTTGTTTAGAATCCAAGTAAAACAAACTGTTCCTGACAAAATATATTAGTTGGCAGTGAATAGGGCAGAGACAGAAGAAAGAAGTTAAGCTGAAGGTAAAATATTATTGATACCACCACCCTAACATATTTAAATTACTGCCAAGAAATTCTTATTCTAAAGGCTAAAAGTAAGTCAGCTAGAGAAAATTTAGTGCTGTTCACAAATAAAATTAAAATAATGACCTTGAGCTGCGGTACCCACACATAACAAGGCACACATTCATTCAAACTGAATATCTATGTGCTGGGCTCCCGATTCATGTAACACTACTACATCTTTGTTTCAAATGACAGAATTCAGAAGGGCACAAACTCTTTAAAATGATGCTTATACTCAGGTTCTTCATTATCCCAGGACTGTGATTTCTATAGCCTGTAGACATTTTTTTTTAAAGCCCTCGAGTGTATGAAATAGTGATGAACCACTATCTAAATTTTTAGGTGAGCCTATTGGAGTCATGTTTTACAGCAGTCCGCTCAGTATAGCTCTGTGGAATCCTACATATTCTGGAGTTAGAACTTAGGACTGCAGTTGCCTTGATTAATAGAGAAGCCTCAATTACTTACTATGGAAAAAGAGGCAAGACCCCAAGGAACAATGCTATTTTTCCCATCCCGGTGAAAAGCAACAGAATTATACATATTGTCTTTTTCTTCTAGGTGTAGCTCACTTTTAAGAGGTGAAAGGACAAACAATGAAGAAATTAAACTTTATTCTGCATATGAAGAATGGTATTTATATTATATATACTATAAAATTTCAATAATATTGTTCAACTCTGAGGCAAATAATAGTACCTACACCAGTGGGATTAATATACACTCACTGTGTAATCACATTTTCTAATGACAAGAGGAAAGCTGGAAATCCCCACACTTCAAAAGACTACTATCTTGGAAAAAACCTGAAGCTACCAGTAATGAGTTATCTTAATGAAAATATCCTTGAAAATTTACCTGACGAAAGCTCTGAGTTCAGGGACTTGTACAGACTCCCCACTTTACTAGTCTAGTTTAACAACTTTAGTAATTCATTAATATTAAATAGCAGTAATATTAAATGAAGTCTGATGCTTATATCTGAGGTGTCTGACAAAAACCAGTTTCAGCTGGGACTTATCTTGAACAATTAAGACACCAACAAACAAAATTTCTCAGTTTTAAAAAAGAGATAATTCATTTTCTCTTCTCCCAAAACATTTCATTGCCTACCCCATCACCATTCTCCTGATACCATGCGATTCCTCAAAGAACAAACTGAAAGCAAAAACCATTCAACTAACAGGTGTTATCTCAAAGTAAGTACATCAGTAATACAGCCTGTGTTCCAAAGCAGTGCTATCTAAATTAATTTATTTTGATTGTATTTCTATTGCCATTTGTTTGCATAATACCACAGCAATTCATGTGATAGGAAATGCAAACTGATCCATGAACTGTTGAATAGTGCTTGGAAAGTACCCCGCAGCAGGTTATTAGAAATTTTGCATGCTACTCTGAAACTTGCTCCATTTGTTTGGATGAACATCTCCCCTGATGTTTCATTTAAAAGAAACCAAAATCCAACCTCCAAATGCTAGGGCATCCAGCTGGATAAACTATAATGGAATACTTACCTAGAGCTGTAAAATCTGAACCAGACTTGAATAGAGCTGAAGCTAGGAGCTGAAACTGTAAAAGAAAAATAGAAGCAAATTAACTGGCTAAGCACATTGGAAAAAAATAACTTCTATAACTTTGACCATTTATTAGCCACTGCATGTTTCTGCACGTGTGTTGCATAGGTCTATTCACCAAATGGTAGCAAGAACACCACATTTAGATTAAAGAATAGGCTGACTTTTCTGTTTAACTGCTATAGGTTAAAGCATTCCTAATCGGAAAATCTAAAATCTGAAATTCTCCAAAATTCCAAACTTTTTGAGCACAGATATGATGCTCAAAGGAAATGCTCATTGAAACATTTCAGATTTTCAGATTAAAGATACTGAACCAGTATGTATTCTGCAAATATCCCAAAATCTGAAATCTGGAACACTTCTGGTCCCAAGAATTTTGAATAAGAGATAATCAACCTGTGTTGTCATTTCCCAAAATACTGCACCAAGTCCCGGAATTATTTTATTTTGAAAATTTATTAAAATATATATATATTAAGGAACAATGTGTCAACTGAAAAAAAAAGAAAATTACTCATTTGGAAATCCATCATATATGGATAGACTAGTGCCCTGAGTACAGTGAAACCATGTACAGGCCATTCCTAAATTACAACTTAGATTAAAATTTCACAATCATGCATAATTATATTGTTAAAACTCAAAGGCTGGTTTTTTAATGGAGATAATGTTGTAAGTGTTGACTAGATTCTCAGGCTAGCCAGATAGTTAGTTTAAAACAGTCAATGTAACTGAACAATGATCTAACACTACTGCAATTTAACAAACTTGTAAAAAATAAAAATTTGGGAGAATTATTTAAATTTATCTCAAATGAGGATGCTACAAAAGAGGCAAGTTAAAGAAAAGAATAAGAGTAGACAAACGAGTAGAATCTCACCAAAGTTACTTGGTACTTCTGAAAGCTTGAGCAGTTGATACCACTGATTCCTCAGGATATATTTCATGTCTATGTTTACAACCTTTAAAACCTCAAATATTAATCAACTAATATCTATAAGCCCTGATTAATGGTCCTTTGAAAGTCAGAAATTGGACAAATATTCCAGAGGTATCTATCTAAGCAATAGTTAGTAAGAATGGGAATAACAGGAAGAGTTAAAAAAATATGGAAGTTTTTTATATTCTGGGTATCAGTTCTCTGTCAGGTATGTCAACTGCAAATATTGTTTAGTCTGTGGCTTGTCTATTTTTCTAATGAGCAGAAATCCTTTAATGAGTAGAAATTTTAATTTTGTTGAAGTCCATTTTATCAAGTTTTTCTTTTATGATTAGTGCCTTTTGTGTCATGTCCAAGAAATCTTTGCCTATCCCAAGGTTGCAAAGATAATCTGTTTTCTTCTCAAAGCTTTATTGTTCTGGGTTTTATATTTAGATCTGTAATCCATCTTAAATTAACTTTTGTGCAAAGAGACAGAAGTTGAGATATCCAGTTACTCAGCATCATTTGTTAAAAAGACTTTCTTTTCGGGGCCGGCCCGGTGGCGCACTGGATAGTGCGCTGCTTGGGAAGCGCGGCGGCGCTCCCTGAGACAGAAGTTGAGATATCCAGTTACTCAGCATCATTTGTTAAAAAGACTTTCTTTTCCTCATTGGACTTGGAACTCTGGTCAAAAATCAATTGACTGGGGCCGGCCTGGTGGCGCACTGCTACAGTGCGCCGCTTGAGAGCGCGGCAGTGCTTCCGCCGAGGGTTCGGATCCCACATACAGACCGGTTCCCGCTCACTGGCTGGGCGAGGTGCGGGAGCAGCA